TCCTTTGCAAAACTGATCAAGAAATTCTGAATCCTGTAGCTGTTCTTAGATCCCTCTTTGTATCTTCTCATTCAGCTAAGTAGCCCATGTTTGGCCCAGTGATCCAATAACCAATTCCAAGTTTTCATCTGATTGTCTGGCCTGGAGCCTGTCATCTTCCAATAAGGAGGGGCAATCTGCTCTGTTTCTCTGAGGAAGACAGATGTATTAGCAAATCATGAACCGGAGAAGGGCCTTCAGGGCCCGTGTCAGGCCTGTCAATTCCAAGACCCTCAGAGTCTTTGTTGTACATTGCTGCCATGGCAATGGCTGGGGACAACACCTGGTGGAGTGGGAGCCTGCCAAGGCCCACTGTAGCAACAGCAAGGGACAAAGAGGGTATTTCCGGGACAGTCAACGGAGCAATTAAGAGGCAAGGGACCAGATCGAAGCCAGCCAGACTGAAGAGTCTGGAAGTATTTGACCTAGAGTTTAAACCACAGAGGCTGAAAATATAATTTAAAAAAAAAATCAATATAATTGCTTTTGTAAGCACTAAATGCTGAAGGACACTTCCTAAGTTAGTTTCTGATGGTTTTATTCTAGGGCATGATGACCAATAAGAACGTTGGCCTCCATTCCTGGCACTTCATGGAGTTTATAATTACAGCAGATCCACAGAGAGCTCCCAAGCACCCTGGCGCATCCAGGCGAAACCAGCTGTTTGCACACAGACCTTGAAAAGAGCAAAGCTTACAGACTGTAAAACATGTTCTCATGTTAGCATCTTTCTCATGAGCACTGCCCCTACGCTGTTAACACAGTCCGAGGAGTCAAAGTGGCTTCCCTGTGAGTTTCTCCTCTCCACCTCCCTGGAAAAAAAAAAAAAGAGGGGGAGTTTTAAATTTCACATTCTGTGATCTAACTTCCCATTTCCCACTCACAAACAAATGACATCTGGCCACTCTCAACAATAAACTTGGAAAGATGAGACATTTCCTGTTAGTTCTCCATGTAACCCCTGCTTAAACTTTTAAATTCCTGAAAGAATTGCCTGAAAAATAAATGGATCATTAAAAAGTGAGGAAAAGGGGAAGGGGGGGGTGGGTGCTAAGGAACCTGCTACAAGATCCCTGTGACACTTAACTCTGTGAGGTTTTACCAGTATTCTGACTTTTTTTTTTTTAAATCATATTTTAGCACTGAAAGATCAAAACAGGTTTGTTATTCTGTACAACCATCTCCTGGAAATCCCAAGTGGAAAAAAACTTCCACCAGGCTACTGGATCCAACGATGCAGCGAACTGCCTGATTCCTTTAAGTGGTGGTAGAAAATATTCTGAACGCCTCCTCCTCTGATTTTTAGCACCTTGCTTATCTATCCACTCAATTCCTAAGAAATTGCACGTGGCCTCACAGTCTCAAAAGTTATGCAACACCACTAACTTTCAAATCCACATTTCCAAATCTGATTTTTCTTCCTCATCATCAATTCCCAGTGGGATATTTTGTCTTGGAGGCCCTGTCCTTATCTCCCACTTAGCATGACTAAGGCCGGTTACTCTCACTCGCCTCCCAAAACCAGCTCTGTTCTCCACACTTCCTCTTCCTGTCAATGACACAAACTTTCTCCAAGACCCAGTCTCAAATAAGAGCATTACCATGGAGAGCCTGGAATATCCCCCTCTTAGGCCCCAGGGACAGTGAGACAATCTATTGCACCACACCCATTCCTTCTTTCTAGTCCTACACTCACCAATCTCTTGCCTACATGCTTGACAAGTCCATTGATCTCCTAGTAGGTGTCCCTCTTCCACTTTCTGTTACCAGAAAAGTATCTGATGGCCAAAATAGCTAATGCATTCTTTTTTTTAAATTTTTTTTTTTTGCTGATGGACCTTTATTTTATTGATTTATAATTTGTATGTGATGTTGAGACTCCAACCCAATGCCTCACACATGCTAGGCAAGTGCTCTACCACTGAGCCACAACCCCAGCCACTAACTAATGCATTCTTAACATTTACAACAAAGTAGGCTTCATGGGCTCTATAGTATGAATTTAAATGTTCCTCAAAGGCCCATGTGTTGAAAGTTTGGTCGTCATAGCGCTATGGTAAGGTGATTAAACCTGTAGGAGGTAGGGCCTAGAAGATATTGGGGCGAAGGCAATCTATAAACCTGTCCCCAAGTGCCTGACAGGGCTGGGACCACAGTCTCAATAACTGGACAAACATCATGCAGCAGATGAACCCTAATTCGGTTCCACGTTTGTGTCTTATCAGAAGAAGTCGGAAAGGGATGAAAGAAAAAGCACTAGTGACACGGCTCAGCTATTCTCTTATCTGTAGTGAGCATGATCTTTTCCCATGCACTCAGTTTCAAAAGAAAATGAATTCATTTTCCTATAGCTGGTCTGAATTTCTATTCCAAGCCCCCGTCTCCAGATTGGATCTTAAAGCCGGGAGAATGATCCTAGAAAAAAACTGGGGACCTGGTTCTAGGTGACATTGAGCCTCCACAAAGGACCCTACTGAAACAATCGCGGCCTCTACGGCCACTGATTCACTCTCATCACAGCTGTCTCCACCCACTATTCAAACCTTCTTGTGCTCTTTGGGCACGTCCAGCTGTGGGGATGTTGTGTGACTGGGGGTGGCCCACAGAGGCAGGCTGTCCACCAAGAGATGCCACCCTCAGGCTCATGGGAGCATTTCACAGCTCCCAGGTGAGGCCATCACAGCCATGCCTGCTCGGGAGCCCTGGTACTCACCTCCTCCCCGGCTCACCCAGAGGCCAGGGCTCAGGTCTTACCTCTTTCCACTTCTTTAAACATGCCTGGGCCTCCGCTGTCATCTACCTGGGATGTGGAGCATAGGAAAGATGGAGGTGGAGAGGGCTGGGGATTCGCTCACACTTTCCTCATTCCCCATTTACTCTCCATTCATTCCAGACATCTAACTCATTGTCCAAATCAAGGGTTTCTGGCCTGATTTCCCTCATAAGCCACTTCTCTCTAATCACTCATTCCTCGAGGCAGTGACTATCCATGACCTGTCCATGACCCATCCATGACCCGTCCATGACCCGTCCATGACCCGTCCATGACTACCTTCCTGGGGTAGAACAAGGGCTATAGAGTAGAAAGAAATTTTGGAGAGAGCAGAAACTAATATTTTAAAATTATATAGTGTGTCACAGTCATATCTGTTTAACAGATGTCAATCAAACATCCCTTCCACATGAAAGGTACTGTGCTGGTACCACACCAACCACAGAAGCAAAGTGGAACAGCCACAGCCCCCTGAAGCTGACAACTCGTGGGTGGGCACCCAGTGTGGAGGGGGAGAGCCGTAGATTCCTCCTGTGCCGAGGAAGCTCAGACAGCCGTTCAAAAACGGTCTGCTTAGACACAGGACAATGAGAGCCTTTGGATTTATTTTTTATCAATACAGATAAACAGAAGGGGCAGCGCCTGAGAATAAAAGTATTGTATGAGCCATCTTGACATCCTTAATGAAATGTACACACATAAGCATGTAGTAAGTCAAATACTCATTTCTTTGAATAGTGCCATTCATCTTAAATTCTACTTGCCAACCTTTGACTATGTCCTCCCCCCAAGTATGTGTTGTCAACTTAATCCACAGTTACTGTAGTTTGAGTCTAGTAGTTTGGAATGGGCCCCCAAGACTCATGTGCTGAAGGTTTAGTCCTCATCTGATGATGCAGTTGAGGGGGGGTGAAGACTACAAGGGGTGGGATCTAGTTGAAGGGATTGTGCCATAGATGACTGTATTTTGTCCTTGCTGCTTTCTCCCTGTTCCTTACAGCCCCAGAAACAGTGGAGCCAGCTGACAATGGCCTGAAACCTCTGAAACTGTGAGTCCAAATAAATCTTTCCTCAAGTTGTTCTTCTCAGGTATCTTGTCATAGCAATGAAAAGCTGACCACTACATCAATGCATTAGCATGGGGAGGGGAACCCAATTGGAAGTATCTAGGTCATCAGGGCTTTTTACTTCAACAAATGGATCAATTCCCATTATAGAAGGACTTTGGGGGCTGTGTGCTAGATCTCTTGCTCTCTCTTAGAGATTCTCTCATTATGTGATGCTTTCTGCCATGGGATGACCCAGCAAGAAGACCTTCACAGGAGTGGCTTCTGGATCTTGCATCTCCCAGTCTCTAGATCCATGAGCCAAGTCAACTTCTGGTCTTCAGAAATAACTCATTAGGTGGTATCCTAATACAGCAACATAACGTTCCTCCTTTTGAGTTCCTGACACCTCAAGCTGTGGAAAGAAACGAGGGCTCTTTGGTTTACTTTGTGTTCTTTGAAGTAAAGGGAGAGAGGTCAGGAGTCCTGGTAGCCTCTCATACCCCCCTCTCCTCACCATGGCCAGAAAGTCACCTGCCTGGGGTGGGGGTGTACCTCCCCACAAGGGGCTGTTAATGAATTTCTCCTGGGCTTCTCCTTTCCAGCATGGACTCCTGGGCTGCTTCATTTCTGCCCTTGGCTCACCTTTTGGTCAAGTCACTTTGGTCCACAAATAGTATACACAGGATGAAGGGAGGAAAGGCCATGAGAACAAAATGATTCTAAAATGTATAAAAGGGGCAGGACACCCCCACTGCCCCGGACACCCAGCTCTGAGAACCCTTCCTTGCAGAGAAGCCTGTCTCTGTTCTATCCTCAAATAAAACTGGCTTCCTCTGCTTGCCTTGGTGTCTCTTGGGTGCTCAATCTTCACATCTGGGGAAACGGAACTCAGCCCTGACTGATTTTCATCAGCAGTGGGGTATCAGCACCAGGCACCTTGGAGTCCAGCCTTGGAGTGTCAGGCCAGGATAATACTAAGGAAAACACTGCCCAGCAAGATGCCCACAGGGAGATGTAGGACACACCAACACAGAAGGCCAGCTACATTCTAAGAAGAGCGGAAAAATAATTGTAAAACTCCCTGGTAGCCCCATGAGGAAAGGAGAGATTGCTTCCCCAATGCCACAGACTCGCATCCAGAAAATACTAATTTTAAAATTCAGATTGATCTGTGATCACAAAGGAAAGGCATGTTGGTTTCTGGCTCTCTGGTGACGGTGACGTGCTTGATGTTGGATTCTGAAAAAGATGACATATCATTTATTAAGCAACTTATGGGAAATTTTTTTCTAGCGTTTATTCAAAAAAAATTGTATTTATTTATTTTTTTAAATTGGAGCTGTACATGTATTTTTCTTAAGCAGTTCTTACCAGCTCAGGTCAGAATGAAGCCACAGAGGAGGACAGTGTTCTTATATGCCTCAGTGTTTGCTGATCATCCACATGGTCCTGGGAATCTTTGGCACTGAGGATAAAGGTGGGTAAGCCTGAGCCTGGATCCTAGAGGAGCTTACAGCACACAGGAGGAAGAGAGTTAATACTCTGAGGAAGAAAAGGAGGAAGTGTGTCAAGAAGAAAGAAGAGATGGCTAAATTCTCGGACTAGTTTGCAGAGTTAGACCTGCTCAAATGGTTCTCATCTTGCTCTGGGGGAAAGCCAGTCCTTCAAGGGCCTCCAGGGTCCTGCACCACCTGCTTGGCTCCTCTATAGTCTCATGTCCTCCTCTTCTTCCCCCTGCTCTCTCCCTCCCTTCCTTCCTCATACAGCCACACTGGATTTCTACCAGACATCTCAGCCACAGGGCCTTTGAACTTACAGTTCCTCTGGGATGTTCCTTCCAGAGACACACTCACCTCTTATCAGGCACCTCTATCAGCTGCCACCTTCCCTGTGAGGCTCTCCTTCCCCCAACCTTCCCATTCCTCTCCACCTCCTACAACAGATTCCATTTGTTCTTTTCTGTTTTTCAAACCTCCCCAAAACACATGGTGGATCCTGCAGAGGTCTAGGAACCTCACTTTGAGAGCTGCTATGTTAGAATTCCCTGGGAGATTCATTAAAATCCAATTCCCAAATAAAGTGCTAATTCCCCCACCCCATAACCACCAAAAAAAAAAAAAACCCCTCAACTCCCAGCCCAACCCAGGTGATTCTATTTTAATGGCTTTGGAGAGGAACCTGGAAATCTACATTTTAAAAGGCAATTGGGGCACAATTTTAATGATATGGTCCAAGACCACCATTTGCAAAAACCATGGGAAATCATTGAAAGATTTTAAATAAAAAGTGACAAAAAATAGGAGTTGTGGGTGTAGCTCCTGAAAGAGCACTTATTTAGCATGTGCAAGGCCTTGGGTTAAATCCGGAGTGCCGATTAAAAACAAAAAACATAAAAACCCAAAACCAAAAAGTAAGTAACAAGATTAGATCAGGACTGCAGGAAGCCCTGGGGTCCTGGAACCAATACTGGTACAATCAGTTGAGGATTCTCTTGCTCAACCCAAATAGAAATCTGGACTAGGCAAAGTGCAGCTCCCTTAGTGTTAGCAGCTCTGAGTGTTGAATGCCAGAGGCTCTCAGCTCTTAGTCTTAGTGGCCGTACTCTCTGCTCACCTGACAGCTAGAACCAGCAACTGTCAACAGTTCTCTGAAACTTTCCCAGCAGTTGGAGCCAGTGGCTCCCAACCATGCTCCACTGCTGATTCTCACTCTCACCACTCTCTGGCTACTAGCTGATTCCAGTGTTACAAGTCCTGGCTGCTGGCCACTGTTAATGCCAGTAGCCTAAATGTCACCAGCTCTTAGTGCAACCAGCTTACCTTGCTCTACTTAAGATAGAAATCACAAATAGGCAAAGTAAAATTCATTCAAAAGAGATCTTATTGGAACATATGCTTCAGTATAATGGAAAGCAACGCCTGGAATGTTCTGATAAGGGAATGGGAAGGCTGCTTATATAGGAAAAAAGGTGGGCTCCTGCACCAGCAGTGTCCTGCAGGTTAGTCACAGTTTGTGCTTAGTCATGGGTAGAAAAGGGTCTTGTGGCCTGGATTGGGAACAGCTAAAGGGCTGCAGAGGAGTGGAGTCATTCAAGAGAAGCCGCATCACACACACACACACACACACACACACACACACACACACACAAATGGTTTTGTTTCTTTTTTTGCCATGCTGTGTATTGAACCCAGGACCTCACACAAGCCAGGCGAGTGCTCAGTCACAGAGCTACACTCATCTGGGATGGACCTGTCATGGAAGCCGCTGCAGCCAAAGCAAAATTTCCCACATGGCCACAAGGTGTATGGAGCAGCCATGGCTGTTAAAAATGGAAGAAACAGATTTTAAGGATACCTCTTGGGTAGTGTTGGATCCTTCTGTTCAGTTTCAATACCAGAGAGATCATTGTCTAAATGAGAGGCCAGCTAACTATACTCTAGGGAGTGAAATCCTGCTCCCGCCCATTTTTGTAAATAAAGTTTTATTGGAACACAGCCATACTCACTCTTTTCCCCACATCCCTGCCTTGTGGATGGAACCCAGAGCCTCAGGCATGCTGGGCAAGCTCTCTATCATTGAGCTACATCCACAGCCCCACAACCATTCCTTTATGCTATTGTCCATGGCTGTTTTTCTACTAGAATTGCAGAGCTGAGGACAGTCAATATTCTATATCTACAAGATCTGCTTTTATGGATTCAAAAATACTTGGTAAAAACAATTGCATCTGTACTGAAAATGTACGGACTTTCCCCTCCCCTTGTCATTATTCTCTAAATAATAAAGTACACCAACTTTTCATATGACATTTACATTGTGTTCAGTATTGTAAGTAATCTAGAGGTGACTTAAAGTATGCAGGAGGATGTGCATAGATTATAGGCAAATAGTATACCATTTTATAAACAGACTTGAGTATCTGCAGATTTTGGTATCCGAGGGTATGCAGGTGCCAATCTCTTCCCCATGCCAAGGGATGATTGTAATTGTGAAAGAAACTGCACAGATGGCTAAACAAGAAATACTAAGTGACGCCTTTTGGAAAAAGTTTGCTAAGCCCTGGTCTAAACCAAGGGCAAGATTAAGGGGTGGATGGAGTGTGGTGGGCATAGGGAAGCGGGAAGGGTTGAGCCCCCTGAGGATGAGCTCAGACCACGGAGTGAAGGTGCCACCAGCCGATGAGTCATGTGCTGGAAGAAGCGCAGAGTTGGCAGCCCAGCAAGGGTGGGAAGCACATTTGGGGACTTATGTTCTGTACATCCTCCAGGCTTAGCATACAGTTCCACTGAGGTTTTCTGTATGTTTTCCCCATTGTTTAGGAATTTTTCTTCAGAAATAAAACTGTAGCTATAGATAACGAAGGAACCCCACACACTGAGCTAAAAGGCTTTATCTCATATATCCTCAGATCCAATGAGATGATATAACTATTTCCATTTTACAGATCTTAAAAATGAGGTTCAATAATTTGCCCCGGGCAGATCTGTTGGCCTCTAGAGTTTTTAACACTGCCTTTGGCAAACTTGAAGATGTACTGCATACTTTCCGTAGATTACAAAGTAATGGTTTTGTTTCTCTTTTGCCATGCTCAGCATTGAACCCAGGACCTCACACAGACAGGCAAGGGCTCAACCACTGAGTTGAAAGCTCATAAAAGGGGCTTTCAAAAGAGCAGTCCCTATTACAGGCAATGAAGGACTCAGCTGTTGGTGTTTCCACCCAGAGTTTCTCTCTACCCTTTGCTTCCTGGTTTGAAGTCAGTTTCTTTATACTTAATCCCATCTACGGTAACTGAATATTTTTATTAATAGTTGTGGTAGCATCTGGCCAAGGATTTTGACAAGCTAAATGAAATACACTGTATCTGTTGGTAATGTAGCCACACTGATTGATACCTTCAGAGCTGGAGCAGGTGATTCAGTCTTGAAGCCATTGAAAGCCCAGTTCTCCGGGCCTCCTGCAATAGCCTGAGGGTGAACACTTTAAAGACCAAAGGCCCTTCCCAAGCTAATGATGGTACCTCTGGGTTTTAGCAGAAACTCAACTTTCTTCACATTAAAGGCTGAATTTACTTCACCGCCATGAGGAAGGAAAAAGAATCTTTATTCTGACACTCTATTTCTTCTGGCCTCAGCTAAATAGCATTGTAAAACTGCTCCCAGTCAAAAACAAGAAGAACTATGTTTATTTCCAGAAAGCAATACAATAATCTCTTAATAACCCGGGGTTACTTTCCTATAAAGATTAAGGTAGAAAAAGAAGGGTGGGGAAAAAAAAAAACAGTAAAATGCCTTTAAAAACACAGAGTAAATGGTAGTTCTAGAGACTTCCACTTCCCAAATCCATTGCTGTTCAGAATCTGCTCCAGTACCTGCCTCTTCCTTCACCTCCCCCCACTTCCTTTCCTGGCTTCTCACTGCAAGTTAAATGAAACCTCAACTCCACACTGTGGCCTGTGATCTAGGATCCCCTGCTGGTCCCCATGATAGCTTCTGTGGGGTCCTCAAGGCCACATGCTTTCCACCTCTAGCCTTTGGCCCTCACTGGAACCATGTGGAATGCTCTCCTGATCTGCCTCCTCCAGGTGTGGGCTCCAATTTGACTTTTAGAAAGGCTGTCCAGGAATGCCACGCAGGCCTCAGTCTTCTTCCTTCCTAGCGTTTATGACAATAAGCGATACAGTTGGCCCTCCTTATCTGTGGGTTCCTATCCACAGAGTCAACCTATTGCAGACCGAGAATACTTGAGAAAAAATTGCGTCTGTACTGAATATTTAGAGGTGGGGTTTTTTTGGTCATTTTTCCATAAATAACACAGTATAGCAACTACTAACATAACATTTGTGGATATTATAAGTAATCTGGAGGTGATTTAAAGTCTATGGGATTATATGTTCATAGATTATATGCAAATATTACATCATTTATATAAAGGGACTTGATCATCCTCAGATTTTGGTATCCACAGAGGTCCCAGAACAATTCCCTATAGGTGCCAAGGAGCAGCTGTAGTCTTATTTGTTTTTAAAATGGTCTCTTTTTTCACCCTTCTAGAATGTACCTTCTGTAAGGCCAAAAGCAGTGTTTGCCTTTTTCACTGGTGAATTCTGGAAGGTTAGAATAATGGTGAGCACCTAGTGGGCACTCAAAACTATTAGTTGAATGAATGACTGAGATTTTTTTCCTCCATTTTTGGAAAATGTTTCACAGTGTCTGCCTCCTCTCTCTCTCTCTTTTTTTTAAGGGTTTAGAATCAGTTCTTTCTAGCTTGAAATTTTATGTAATTGCCCTTACGTAAGTCTTTGAAATGGCTCTGTGATGTTCCTCAAATTCATCTGTAACTTAAAATAATTTTAATCAAAATTCCAACATAATTTTTCTTAGCCCTTAATAAACTGTAAAAATTTACACAAAAGAGTAAATGTTTAAGAATAACCCAGGTGTCTGTCCCAAAGTGTAGTGAAGTAGGCAAGATGAGTCTCCCAAGAGACAGAGACATTACAAAGCTAA